ACACACACATTATACATTGCTTTACCTAAAAACTAAGCTTTAATGAAAGTAGAAAATTGATTGTGCTTTTTTGGTTACTTGTTACTGTGCTTTTTTGACATTTCTCTAACAATCCTGTCTTTTTCTTCTCGTTTAATAATGCTGCTTTCTTTGGTCCCACTCTATTGAATTTTAGTATCATTCTTCCACCCAATTTTTATTTTGTTTTCTCCATCATTTTTCTTTTAAAATCGCATATACACAAAGAGACACACACGAGCTTAAGCTCGGCTGGAGTGACAGTGTATTGACGGTGGCCAATTTCTTTTTCATTACAATTTGATCCCAAAAAAAAAATAATAGTCTTCATAATGTACTCACACGATGTTTGAAAGTTAATGAGCAAATTAAAGCATATAGATAAGGCCATTAGACCACCACAAGTGTTTCTCAATAATCTCAATATTGTATAACACCATACAAACCATACTAGGCGTTGGTAACACAACTAGTTTGAACTTCCTACCATCCAAAAGGAAAGATATTGGAGGTCCCCGAGTTACCAACAATGAAGAAGAGACTAATTTAACATGATTTCCGCGATCCAATTATATTTCATAATTTCTTGGTAAAAAAAACAAGAAGAAAATAATATAAACGATAAATTTAGAATTGTGGAGGAGAGAAATTAATGGAAGGGAATACTGTTACACAATATGTAATGTATACACAATAATGTCATGTGGGGGCAAACATTCATCAGTTCTTTTTCGTATATTCATGAATCGTGATCATGCACTTTCATTATTGTTATGATGATTATGAAGTGTTGGTGAAATTATTTAGAACATAGAATTGAGTATTATAATTTGGAAAAAAGGAGTCTTATGTTATTTTGGATGTTTATGTGTACAGTTAATTATCATATAGTTGGATTCCACTTCAGTCTCTTTCAAACCAAGTGGATGGCCGCCTCTAACTTATTATATCTTGGGAAATTAGCATGAATAACTATAAAAAAAACTATATCTAATAATTCAAAAAAAATACCTATGGCCAATTCCTAATCATTAAAATTAGGGTTTTTAGTTAGAATATTAGATAGTATTTTTTTTTAGTTATATCACTAATTGACCCTTATATCTTTTGGTAGGCTCTTTGGTAAGGATTTCCCTAGTAAAATAAATCTTCAAATTAATTAATTGCAATGTCTTATTTAATAACTTAAAATCACATTTTTATGGGCTGGGCTTAGATTATGGGCCCAAATTTATATGGTTTTAAATGGTTATCATGATAAGTGGATAAGAGGCCACCCAATTTCCCCCTCATGCTTTTTTCTTAGATTCGTTTATGATTTGAGTTTTTAATTGATACATCGGGACTCACGGGGAACTGTGCTAGGATCATTATTTCGATGGTTGATAATAAACAAAAACAAAAACTTAGGAGAACGAATTATAATAGTAACGTTGAATTCTTAGAGTATTCAGATTGTGTATTTAAGTTTTTTTTTTTTCGCTAAATTGTAAATATCATTAATAAAAATGAAAATTTAGGATTATAAAGTGTTTAATAAACAAATTGTTACACCTATGGTTTTGATCCCATGACAAAAAAAGATTAAAAACATGGAAACAAAAGAGCAATTAATACATATTCACGACTTTCCGGAGAGCAATCACGAGGAAATATCGATAAACATCCTAGAATCACCGTGCGAAGAAACGATGTGGAAGCCATTGAAGTAGAGGTAACAAGAGAGAACAATGAAGTGCCGATGACGCTAAAAGAAGCACATTCATCTTGTAGCATGAGCTCAACGAAGACCCAAGTGCCAGCAAGTAACAAAACAGGATGACCACAACACCCGCTTACGAAACACATGAGCAAGCTAAAGTAAATTCGTTATGACACGACTACACTGAAGATGCAGCTGTTGAAACAGGAGTCTGTAGCAGCATCAGATGGGAGTGCTTTAGGAGAAGCATGAATCAGCCTGTGGGCTTTGGCCCGGATGGGCTTTTGGNGTGAGTCAGCCCAAAGGAAACACGGCGTGATTGCACTCAAGGAAGGCTGGAGGATATCTTGGAGAAGATTTACTCAAGNTAGAAGGTTTCCTTATTCTTAGGANAAGANAAGGAAAGAAGATCTACACATGAAGATTTAAGGAAATAGTGAATCTTGCATAAGTAGAGGACAAGGCTAGGGTTAGTCGGAGTCCATTGGTATATATAGGGTGTGTGAACTCGTGGGAAGGGTTTAACACAACTAGAGCAATTTCTTAGTAAAGGGATAAGGGTTTCAAATAAAAAGGGGAAATCTTGTATCAAGGGCTAAGGGGTGAAGAGAGGTTCACGATATCAAGGTTGATTCGTGAACAGGGTANACTAGGATTGAGTGAAAGCAATACGTGTAAGTATTCAAGTCATCAATACTAGTAAACGTGTTTTTGAGAAAACCCCTGTGTTGTGTTCTGTTTCTGCATCAGTATTATAATCTCTGTAGTAGTAGCTGTTACGTTTTCATTTGGTATCAGAGCGGCACTTGTTCG